AAATATAATCCCTTATTGGGTAGTTTCAGTTCTTTGATGTATTTTGTCAATTTGTTTTAGCTTGTAGCCCCTGTTTTAAAGCAATGTTTACTAGTGAATTAGCTGAAAGTCGTTTAATGGAAATTGTTATTCATGATGTTGATGAAAGTGCAATGGATTTACTCATTGAATTTTGTTATAGTTCAACAATTTTAGTTGACGAAAAAAATGTCCAAACATTATTACCAGCAGCTTGTATACTACAGGTAGTTTATCTATCATTTCTCTCACCTATTTATTATTTATTATCTTCTATTAATTTATTTTCTCTTCTAGATTCAAGAAGTTCAAGATACATGTTGTGAATTTTTAAAAGCTCAATTAGATCCATCAAATTGTCTAGGTATACGAGCATTTGCTGATACACATTCATGTAGAGAATTATTAAAAATTGCTGATAGATATACACAACATAATTTTAATGAAGTATGCACTAAGTTGCTTTTAACACAAGTTGTTTTAACATCATTTATCTAGTATGAGGATTATTAGCATCGGATTATTTTATTATATATATTAGGTAAAAGAAAGTGAAGAACTTTTATTTTTACCAGTAAATCAATTGATTGATATAATATCAAGTGACGAATTAAATATGACCAGTGAGGAAGATGTATTTAATGCCGTAATGCATTGGGTACAATGTAATACAGAACAGAGAAAACAATATTTATCACGGATAGATTAATATGAATGAAATATTGTATCAGGTACTTCTTAACGAAAAGTGTTTATACCAGAATTGAACTGAAATCAAGCTATTTTTTTGGTATACCCTAGTCTTCACTTGATTACAGAAGAGATTGACACCACTCACAGTTATGGATCGATCTTGTATCTGACTTGCTGACATGAGTGTAGGACGTACCTAATTAACATGTCCGTTTACCATTGATGAATGTAAGATTTCTTGTTAGTACAGTTAGTTCACATCCTCTAACTGGAAGCGATCAAACATGTCGTGATCTTGTTGATGAAGCAAAAGATTATTTATTATTACCTCAAGAGAGATTAAATATGCAAGGCCCAAGAACACGACCAAGAAAACCAATTAAACCGAGAGAAGTACTATTTGCGGGTAAGGTGTGGATATCATCAACAGTTTTTTTGTTTTATTTATATTACTCTACATTCATGTTTGTACAACATTATAGTTGGCGGTTGGTGTTCAGGTGATGCTATTGCCAGTGTTGTAATGTATGATCCACAAACGAATGAATGGAGTGCTGTTGCACAAATGAGTAAACAACGATTTGGAGTAGGCGTAGCAGTATTAAATAACTTATTGTATGCTGTCGGAGGGCACGATGGAACCAGTTATTTGAATACTGTTGAAAGGTAAGCTAAAAGTTCTTTTTTGAATAATTGGAAAATTCCATAGGTTTTTCCAGAACTAAAACCGGTTTCAGCTTATCCTCGAATATAGCTATGAATTTTGTTTCCTAAAGATCTATGCCGGACCACTTTAAACAGGATCTCAGTTCCTGCAGGATATGAATTTTGTTTGCTTAATTCAACGAAGGACAAATATTTGAAAACAACGCACAATAAGATTGACCCCAAAATGTGTAAATTAAATCCTTAATTGACGAAAAAACTGGTCTAGGTTAACTGAAAATGTCATCTGAGATACATGTCATCCCACGTTCTGGAATCCCCTAGAATGGTGCAACATATACTCAAACTCCGAAAAACGAGAAAAATCCTTCCCTTCCCTTCCGAACTCCTTACAACGTCGAGCATGCTAATGTGCCGAGATCAACATTGCCATAGTAATGGTCAACGACATGGCAAAGAGTGCGGTAGTGTAAAAAGCATGCTTTATGTAATTTTTCCGAATTTTAAGCCACAGTATTAATAAATCTTACCTGCCTCTTGTTTCTAGTGAGTAAATTCGGCAGAATTATTTTATACTTTTGCGAACGAAACGAACAAATTTTCAAAATGCTTCATCAATTGATTTTCCAGATTCATCTCCTATATCCTCGCCCATAACAGAGAGACCTGTTAATGTTTTATTGATTTTCAATGCTTCAGCAATTGATTTTGCAGATTCATCTCCTATATCCTCGCCCATAACAGAAAGACTGGTTAATGTTTTACTGATTTTCAATGCTCCACCGGTTCATTTTGCAGATTCATCTCCTATACCCTCGCCCATAACAGAATGACTCGTTAATGTTTTATTGATTTTCAATCCTTCACCAGTTGATTTTGCAGATTCATTTCCTATATCCTCGCCCATTACAGAAAGACTTGTTAATGTTTCATTGATTTTCAACGCTTCACCAGTTGATTTTGCAGATTCATCTCCTATATCTTCACCCAAAACAGAAAGACTTGCTAATGCTTTATTGATTTTCAATGCTTGACCAGTTGATTTTGCCGATTCATCTCCTATATCTTCACCCAAAACAGAAAGACTTGCTAATGCTTTATTGATTTTCAATGCTTGACCAGTTGATTTTGCAGATTCATCTCCTGTATCTTCACCCAAAAGAGAAAGACTTGTTACTGTTTTATTGATTTTCAATGCTTGACCAGTTGACTTTGCAGATTCATCTCCTGTTTCTTCACCCAAAACAGAAAGACTTGTTAATGTTTTACTGATTTTCAACGCTTCACCAATTGATTTTGCACCTTCATCTCCTATATCTTAACCCATAATAGAAAGATTGGTTAATGTTTTATTGATTTTCAATGCTTCACCAATTGATTTTGCACCTTCATCTCCTATATCTTAACCCATAATAGAAAGATTTGTTAATGTTTTATTGATTTTCAATGCCTCAGCAGTTGATTTTGTAGATTCATCTCCTATATCCTCGCCCATACTAGAAACGCTTCTTAATGTTCTATTGATTTTCAATGCCTCGCCAATTGATCTTACACCTTCACCTCGTATGTCCTCGGCCATAACAGCAAGACTGGTTAATGCTTTATCGATTTTCAGTGCTTAACCAATTGATTCTGCACATTCATCTCCTATATCCTCGGCCATAAAAGAAACACTTGTTCATCTTATACTGATTTTCAATGCTTCACCAATTGTGTTTTCACCTTCATTTCCCATATCTTCGCCCAGATCAGAAAGATTTGTTAATGTTTTATTGATTTTCAATGCTTCGCCAATTGATTTTGCACCTTCATCTCCTATATCTTCGGCCATAACAGAAAGACTTGTTAATGTTCTATTGATTTTCAACTCTTAACGAATTGATTTTGCACCTTCATCTCCTATGTCCCCGCCCATAACAGAAAGACTGGTTAATGTTCTATTGATTTTCAATGCTTCTGCGGGTGATCTGGCACCCTCATCTCCTATATGTTCGCCCATAACAGTAAGATTTGTTAATGTTTTATTGATTTTCAATGCTTTACCAGTTGATTTTGCAGATTCATCTCCTATATCTTCAACCATAAGTGAAAGATTTGTTGATGTTTTATTGATTTTCAATGCTTCACCAACTGATTGTGCACCTTCATCTCCTATATCTGCACCCATAAAAGAAAAACTTGGTAGTGTTTTACTGATTTTCGATGCTTCACCAATTGATTCTGCACCTTCATCTCGTGTATGTTCGCCCATAATGGAAAGATTTGTTAATGTTTTATTGAATATCAATGCTCCACCAGTTGATTTTGCAGATTCATCTCTTATATTCTCGCCCATAACAGAAAGACTTCTTAATGTTGTATTGATTTTCAACGCTTCAGCAGTTGATTTTGCAGTTTCATCTCCTATGTCATCACCCATAATGGAAAGATTTCTTAATGTTTTATTGATTTTCAATGCTTCACCACTTGACTTTGCACCTTCATCCTCTATATCTTCGCCCATGAATCTGCAAAATCAACTGCTGAAGCATTGAAAATCAACAAAACATAAATAAATCTTTCTAGTATGGGTGAAGATATAGGGGATGAAGGTGCCAAATCACCCGCTGAAGCATTTAAAGTCAATAAAACATTAACAACTCTTTCCGTTACGTGCGAGGATATATTGATTTTCAATCCTTCAGCAGTTGATTTACAGATTCATCTCCTACATCCTCGGCCAAAATAGAAACACTTGTTAATGTTTTATTGATTTTCAATGCTTCGCGAATTGAGTTTACACCTTCACCTGCTATGTCTTCGCCCATGAATCTGCAAAGATCAACTGCTGAAGCCTTGAAAATCAATAAATCACAAATAAATCTTTCTATTATGGGTGAAGATAGTGGAGATGAAGGTGCTAAACCACCCGCTGAAGCATTGAAAATCAATAAAACAGTCTTACTGTTATGGGCCAGGATATAGGAGAATCTGCAAAATCAACTGGTCAAGCATTGAAAATGAATAAAACATTAACCAGTCTTTCTGTTAAGGCCGAGGATATACGAGGTGAAGGTGCAAAATCAATCGGTGAAGCAGTGAAAATCTGATTGTAAATCTAATTTTTTCGAATTTTAAGCCAGTATTAATAAATCTTACCTGCCTCTTGTTTCTAGTGATTAAATTCTTCAGAATTATTTTATACTTTTACGCACGAAAACAAGAAATTTAAATAATGCTTCTGCAGTTGATTTTCCAGATTCATCTCCTATATCTTCGCCAATAACAAAAGACTGGTTAATGTTTTATTGATTTGCAATGCTTCACCAATTGATTCTGCACATTCGTCTCCTATATCCTCGGCCGTAAAAGAAACACTTGTTCATGTTATATTGATTTTCAATGCTTCACCAACTGATTTTGCACCTTCATCTCGTATATCCTCGGCCATAGCAGAAAGACTTGTTAATGTTTCATTGATTTTGAACGCTTCAGCAGTTGAGTTTGCGGATTCATCGCCTATATCTTCGCGCATAATAGAAAGATTTATGAATGTTTTATTGATTTTCAATGCTTCGCCGGTTCATTTTGCAGATTCATGTCCTATATCTTCGCCCTAACAGAAAGAAGTGTTAATGCTTTATTGATCTTCAATGCTTCGCCGGTTGATTTTGCAGATTCATCTCCTATATCTTCGCCCATAATATAACCAGCTGTTAATGTTTTATTGATTTTCAATACTTCAACACACGGAACCTTCATCTCGTATATCGTCGCCCATAACAGACAGATTTCTTAATGTTTTATTCGTTTTCAATGCTTCAGCAGTTGACTTTGCAGATTCATGTCCTATATCCTTGCCCATAACAGAAAGATTTGTTAATGTTTTATTGATGTTCAATGCTTCAGCAGTTGACTTTGCAGATTCATGTCCTATATCCTTGCCCATAACAGAAAGATTTATTAATGTTTTATTGATGTTCAATGCTTCAGCAGTTGATTTACGGATTCATCTCCTATATCTCGGCCTATTTCAGAAAGATTTGTTTCTGTTATGGGCGAGGATGTACGAGGTGAAGGTGCAAAACCAATTGGTAAAGCATTGAAAATCAACAAAACATTCACAAGTGTTTCTATTATGGGGGAGGATATAGGGGATGAATCTGCAAAATCAACTGGTGAAGCATTGAAAATCAATAAAACATTAACAAATCTTTCTATTTGACCTGGGATCCCCTAGAACATATACTGAAAGTTTGAAAAACGGGAAAAATCCTTCCCTTCCTTTCCGAACTCCTTACAACGTCGAGCATGCTAATGTGCGGAGATCAGCATTGGCATAGTAATATTCAACGACATGGCAAAGAGTGCGCTACTGTAAAAAGCATGCTTTACGTCATTTTTTCGAGAGTATTAATAAATCTTACCTGCCTCTTGTTTCTAGTGATTAAATTCTTCAGAATCATTTTATACCTTTACGAACGAAAACAAGAAACTTACATGATGCTTCAGCAGTTGATTTTGCAGATTCATCTCCTAGATCTTCGCCCATAATAGAAAGACTTCTTAATGTTTTTTTGATTTTCAAACCTTCAGCAGTTGATTTTGCAGATTCATCTCCTATATCTTCACCCAAAAAAGAAAGACTTCTTAATGTTTTATTGATTTTCAAAGCTTCAGCAGTTGATTTTGCAGAGTCATCTCCTATATCGTCGCCCAATACAAGAGAGCCTTGTTAATGTTTTATTGATTTTCAATGCTTCACCAATTGATTTTGCACCTTCATCTCCTAGATGTTCGCCCATAGTAGAAAGACTTGTTAATGTTTTATTGATTTTCAATGATTCACTAGTTGATTTTGCAGATTGAGCTGCAAGATATAGGACATGAATCTGCAAAATCAACTGCTGAAATCAATAAAACATGAACAAATCTTTCTGTTATGGGCGAAGGTATACGAGATGAATCTGCAAAATCAACTGCTCAAGCATTGAAAATCAATAAAACTTTAACAAATCTTTGTGTTATGGGGCAGGCAAGACATAGGAAACGAAGGTTGTTAATGTTTGTTACTGTTTTATTCATTTTCAATGCTTCAGCAGTTGACTTTGGAGATTCATGTCCTATATCCTTGCCCATAACAGAAAGATTGGTTAATGTTTTATAGATTTTCAATGCTTCTGCAGTTGATTTACAGATTCATCTCCTACATCCTCGGCCAAAATAGAAACACTTGTTAATGTTTTATTGATTTTCAATGCTTCACCAGTTGACTTTGCAGATTCATGTCCTATATCCTCGCCCATAACAGATAGACTTGTTAATGTTTTACTGATTTTCAATGCTTCACCAATTGATTTTACAGCTTCAGATTCTATATCTTCGCCCATAACAGAAAGATTTGTTCATGTTTTATTGATTTTCAATGATTCACCAGTTGATTTTGCAGATTGAGCTGCAAGATATAGGACATAAATCTGCAAAATCAACTGCTGAAGCATTGAAAATCGGTAAATCATTAACAAGTTTTTCTTTTACGGCCGAGGATATACGAGATGAAGGTGCAAAATCAACTGGTGAAGCATTGAAAATCAATAAAACATGAACAAATCTTTCTGTTATGAGCGAAGGTATAGAATATGAAGGTGTAAAATCAATTGGTGAGGCATTGAAAATCAATAAAACATTAACAAATCTTTGTGTTATCGGCGACGATATAGGAGATGAATCTGCAAAGTCATATGCTCAAGCATTAAAATCAATAAAGCATTAGCCAGTCTGTCTGCTATGGCCGCGGATATACGAGATGAAGGTGCAAAATTAATTGGTGAGCCACTGAAAATCAATAAAACATTCACAAGTCTTTCTATTATGGGCGAGGATATGAGAGATGAATCTGCAAAATCAACCAGTGAAACATTGAAAATCAATAAAACATTAAGAAGTCTTTCTGTTATGGTTGAAGATATAGCAGATGAAGGTGCAAAATCAACCGCTGAAGCATTGAGAAGTAATAAAACATTAACAAGTCTTTCTGTTATAGGCGAGGATATGGGTGATGAATCTGCAAAACCAACTGGTGAAGCATCGAACATCAATAGAACATTAACAAGTCTTTCTGTTATGGCCGAGGCTATAGGAGACGAAGGTGCAAAATCAATTGGTGAAGCATTGAAAATCAATAAAACATTAACAAATCTTTCTGTTATGGGCCAAGATATAGGAGATGAATCCGTAAATCAACTGCTGAAGCATTGAAGATCAATAAAACATTAACAAGTGTTTCTATTATGGGCTGAGATATAGGAGATGAATTTGCAAAATCCACCGGCGAAGCAGTGAAAATCAATAAAACATTAACCAGTTTC